AGGCGCCTCCCAGAGCCGAACCGCCAGCCCCCCTCGCGCCGCTCGAGCACGAATGAACCCTTTGCTCATTGTTTTTAGGGTTAGGAACCAAGAACCGCTCCGTTGAAAAAAATTAACGAATCGAATTAATTTACAGTTCAGCGCAACACTGATCAGCGTCGTTGATTCCCAAACGAATGACTCTTACGAGTCGGTTCTTTTTAGTGAATCAAAAGCATACGCGACCAGGGTAGTCCGACTATGAATCGAACGATTCTAATGAATCGCCTCTATTGCATCAAAACATTTACGAATCTATCGCAGCCTTGCTGAAATAACCTGACTCGCAAGTTATTAATTTCATGTAATAAAGCACAAACTGCTAATGTGTTATGTTTAAGGCTTGTGAGACCTAAATATGTGTATACTGAGTTGTTTACATGACAACGTAGCTAAAGATACATACACAGTGGTATTTAATAAAAAAAATAATAATAATAATAAAAATTGAATTAAATATGGTACCGCATATTTATTGTATTATGTGAAATGCAAGACAAGTGCAATCCAATGTAAATGCTTAAAAAAGCTTGTAAAAAGTCATTAAAAAGTCTGTGCATGCACATATGTTGTGGGAAAAAATGGTAGGCTATTGCATTTATTTATGGTCTGTTGAATCTGACCTAATGTTATAATTTACAAATTGAGGACATTAAATGTTTTTCTTTCTCAAAACGTAGGCTACTCAAAGAATAATGGAACCTTTAAGCAACTTCAATCGGCAGCTGAGCCAGAATCGTTTAATTCACGATTCCCATCTATATTGTTGACAATGTATGTTCACTTCACCACTTCCACCAAATCAAAATGTATCGTATCTTACGCTAGTGCTATCCATGTCATCATCACCGGAGGCCAGATTTGATCAGCTTTATATGAAATCTCGCGCAAAGCTTTGAAGGGATTTTTTTTTTTTTCATAATGTAACTTTTTCCACAACGCGCAATACAGAACTCAACGCTTTACGACCATCACCGAGCTTCAGTTGCAGTGTTTCAACTTCATAAGATCAGTCAATTTGCTGATGCAGCCTTAATGTCTCATAAGGGGATAAACATCTGCTACCAAGTGCTCAACCTACTAAGCAAATTTTTGATGTGGTCGGTAGAAATATCGTCCGCGTTCACAATTAACATGTCCGATCAATGATTATAGCGCGAGCATTCTTTACAAACCGGCTTTAAAGAGATAAAGTAGCAGCAGAACAGAGCTACCGTCAGCATAGACTTGTCCACCAAAACGGACTCTTTAGTCGAAGTAATATGAATCATTGTTCGCGATTCATTAAAGCAGTAACCGCAGAGGAACTTAAATAGCAGATCATTAGTCGTTCTTTACCTTATTAAGCCGACCGAAGCGCAGCTGGCAGGAAAATGCATTCAGGTTTGATGTTTGAAGGCTCGCTGGCAGCCAGGAGCCATGTTAAATCTACAGTGTGCAATGAGAGAGAGAGGGGGTTGGGCTTGCACAGCTTTCCCGGATCTCCAACAGAGGGCTTCGGCGCTGGAAACTGGATCCCTCGCCTACGATAAGCGGCTTATCTATCTCACACAATTTAGACAATTATGTTTTATGCCAGACAAAGTGCGTGAAACATGCACACAGAGAGCGAAATGTACTAAATGTAAAGCACTTTCAGTAAGTCATTTTGGGTCAGAGAAGCTGGTTTAGGTCATAAAGGTGCGCTGAGTAGGCTAATGTTTTGCAAATTAAAACGTTTTATACATTAAGAATGTAATAACCCCTTTGAGAAATTATGATTAAAATGACATAAACTCACATAAGATGACCGCTCCAATCATATCCATCTTTTAGAAAAAGTTGTGTTTATTCTACATGAAGTAGTCGTCCACTCACTTGGTATTAACATGGCAGTGTATACTGGTATAGGGAAATAACTTGAAGAACAACAAAGTGCATTAAATGTTAAAACTATATGCACAAAAACAGTGTTTATGATTACGATAATAGATTAAAATAATATGATAAGATCAGTGGCGTAACTTAGTAATGACGGGCCCCAGTGCAGGCTATTATGACGGGCCCCCTGGTGCACGGTTATGAAGCACATACAAACACACAGCGCTCGTGTCTAGAAGGGAACCCATATATGCAAATTTGTGCCTAACCTACTTAATTTAGACCAACTAAAATCAGTATCTTATCAGTTTCTTATAATAAATTGAACATCGAAACTCAAATTGAAACTCTTTCCGTGCGTCTCTCTCTAACACACACGGCTGTGCGTGCGCCTGGCCGCAGCAGCCAGAAGTACCAAATTAATCGTGTTGAATTTTACAGTCATCAGCATGTGTTACCTATTGTATTTGCAAAGCACAGAAGGCAAGGTTATCAGAAGCATTGAGTGTTTCAGCGCTGTGGTGCTGAATACCGCAAACTTTTTTTTTATTTTTTTATTTTTAACACAGTAACCGAGTAATCGCGGCAACCGCATTTATATTTTTATTTACGGGTGGGACATGTGTCCCCACGACCCCCGCCACTTTTTGCGCTCGCTCGCACAATGCGCAGTCTTCACACAGACGATCGTACGCTTTGTTCTGGTAAAAGCACAAAACAAAATGCACACAAACATGTCCTTGCTCTTGATATACAATCACTGATGAACAACTTTGGTTTTAATGAGAGAGAAAAAAAAACTACACGAGGGTGGATTAGAACCCAAAACCTCAGAAATGCTTGACAAAAGTACTACCACTAGACCACTGAAGCACACAGACACGCACACACACACACACACACACGATTAACGCAAATGTATATATTTATTAAGTTCTGTGAAGAATCTCGGTACTAATTGTATTTTATTATTAATACGTTTATTATTCATTTATATTAATATAGTCGCTTGCAATGTGGGCAGGGCCCGCGTGCGCTGCGGGGCCCCCCCGCGGCACGGGCCCCAGTGCGGCTGCACTGCCTGCACTGTCTGTAGTTACGCCACTGGATAAGATATACCAGTTTGCATTAAGAGCTGTTTTTGTACAGCTAAAAATAACTGGAAGCAGACACCGGAAGCCTTGCACATTCAATTTACTAATGGCTGCACCCACTCTTACATAAAAAATTAGGTGGATATAACGCTTTTAGTAAGCGCTCAAAGTGAACAAACAACGCAAACCAAATTAGTAAAAAAGCAGTACAATATGCAGCTGTGTAGCAGCAACAGCCATTAATGTGACAGTTTATCACTGTTGGCAGATACTACACTACAGAAATGAATAAGAAGTATACCGTAAATCTCACAGGAAGTAGTAAGTCCTGAACTTTTCGTCTACTGTTTTGTTAAAACTGTGAATTTGGACACTACTCTTTCCACATACTGTTTTTCCCCTTCTATATAGTATAGGGAAGAATGCCATAATCCCCACCACCATTTTGTAGTGCGTTCCATTTCATCAGGTGGACAAGGGAAGTTTATATGGACAGACCTTCAACCTCTAGATTTTAAACGAGGACACAAGTCTACTCGTATGTACATTTCAGGCCGCGGCATATACCACAATGCAACACGATTGTGACGTCACCACACCCCACCCCACACATTTCTAGTGTATGATATATGATCTATTTAGAGGTTTAACAGTATAATACCTTGCAGTTACAGTAAGATGACGTTTTTTTCACAGTCACTGTTTATTAGTTTTGTCGTATAGTATTCATTCAGCAGTTTTGTTCTCTTATATGCATTTCTATAGTTTTATGTGGATTTTTATACATTTACACTGCAGAATTAACTGCATATTGAAAATACCACTTCTGCCATGTGCTAATTTCAGAAGATCTTGATTAGTGCTTTCAATTTAGCACTCCCACTGTGTCAGAATCAAGCTTCCCCCTAAGCAAATGATGATTTAACAATTACAGACACATCAGACAAGTGAAGGACAAGGTCAGAGAATAAGTTTGAGACATCTGATCCCTCAATGCATCTTCTAAGGGATGTCATTGTTCAACCTAGATCAGAACCTGTTATAGCACTAAAATGAAGAGCATTATCCATAATTTTGCTTCAGTAGGGTTTCTGTTGTTGGAATATGCAGCATGTGGCTTTCTCAAGGAGGATTTTTCCTAACTGTAGACAGTGCTGTGTACAACCCTCACCAAGAGGACTCTTTTTCTGCAAAGCCAAGTTTCCCATCCCCACCAACAATTCTCACAGTTCTAATTGATTATTTCTCCCTGTATTCATTTGTCACTTTTCCCTTAATCAAACTCTGACCGTCACAGTCTCACAAATCAGATAATTTTACAGCCATGACTGAAATAGAAGTCTGAAAATCAATTTATTTTTCAGAGCAGTATGGATCATTCCAAAGAATGTTACATAAGAAAATTAATTTTTTTAAACGGCACTGAATATTTGTTCTGTCAACTGCTCTGCTCTAGTACTGCATCAATAAATATTATAATTTAATATAAAATTGCTTGGCAGTATAAAAAGGCCAGTGACAGACACAGTCTAGGGAGATTTCAATGAACATACTATGTCTCATAAGTGCAGGTGCAGTCCTTATAGTGTAGCCTTAGATAGGGTCATAGATGGCCACCTTCCTTAGCTGAGCTCATTTCCTTCTTATTAGGACAGCAGTGATGTTTGGGCTTTATTGGGCCAGCAGAATGAGTTTACCCAAGGACTTAGAAGTAGGTGGAAGTGAGGGATATTTGCTCCCACGGATTGACTAAGCCAGGCCTCTTTTAAAGGTTCCCATAGCAGGACTGTGTTCTAGATTCAGCATGGAGTCATGGAGAACAACAAAAAAAATTATGCTTTTTTAAATCTTTTGAAAGGGCACCAGCTAAACGAGGTACACAGAGATGAAAAGCCTTGATTTGTAATAAAGTCAAACTCAGTTTTCAAATTGGAGTTACAAATTTAGGTTATGTTCTCAGGTTCGTGTCCAGTCACTGATTACAGATCTGTTGATTTCTATTCATAGATCCATGTCTGTACATTCCACGATTCGCCCACATGTTGGAGTTCGGTGAAAAGACTCATGAGGTTTCGATGACTGCTCTCAGACTGCTGCAGAGGATGAAAAGAGACTGGATGCACACGGGACGGCGACCATCAGGCTTGTGTGGTGCAGGTAAATTGTCCAATGTTCTAATGATAAACACTCTGCTGTTGTATTTGGAGGTCTCTTGGAGGTTTTGTTCACCCAAAAATGAGAATTCCATCCATATTTACTCACCCGTATGTCATTGCAAACCTGTACGATTTTCTTGTTTATCTAGGGAACACAAAAAAAAGATATTTGAAGAATGTTGCAGCTGTTCATGTCCATGCAATAAAAGTCTGTGAGGTCCTAATGAAATCTTTGATCTTCTCATGATGAACGCAGAGTCTAAATCAAATTGAGAAGACTTGAATCAAACCACCAACATAAACCATGAATCATAAAATAATCTTCATTTTTGTGTAAACTCTCCATTTAAACGTCAGTCCTTTCTTTGTTTTGGATTAACCTCCGAGTTTTTAAAAGATTCACTACGCCTTCTTTGTCAGCTCAAAATGAAAATAGTCTACGCTATAGTTCTGCGCATCTGTCAGATCATAAAGCAAATCCCTTAATGTGCTAAAAGTTTGACATGGGAACTGGAGCAGCGAGTTCCATAACAAGGATAAAAAGGAGATCACTGCAAGTGCTTTACCACCGCACAGATCTCGGTGCCCTCGATCTGAAGCAGAACGCAGTGGTCTCTGCACTCTGTCTCAGGAATAGAAGGCAAACTTCCTGCCTGCATCTCTAGTTCAACCCTCTCTCACTGTCTCACTTTTCCCATCTAACATCCGCTGCTGCAATATCTGAATAATTAATAATTCATCATTAATCATTCACAGTATTCAGGGGAATATGGTAAGTGTAAATGTCAGTTTTCTGCATTGAGGTTGATTGTTTTAGAGCGAGGGGAGTAAACACAACTACACTTCACCTTCTGTGAACCAGTGTGAACACTGCAAAAACAAATATCAAGATAAAAGCAAAAAAGTGCAAAAGTTTCACTCTTGCACTCATGTTTTTGTTACGAACGGTTTCACTCAGAAATGATTATTCATCAGTAAGTTTGCACTTCAATTTTTGCTGAATTTAGGATACAATTTAGAATATGCATTTATTTTTGAATAAATTATTAATTCTATTTAGCACCGATGCATTAAATTGATTAATTTGATAGTACATACTTTTATATTTTTACAAAAAATTCCATTTCAAATAAATGCCGTTCTCTTTCTGTTCATCAAAAAATCCTGAATATGTATCACCATTTCCACAAAATTAATAAGTAGCACAACTGTTTTAAATATTGATAATAAGAAGACATGTTTCTTGAGCAGCAAATCAGCATATTAGAATGATTTCTAAAAGATCATGTGACACTGAAGACTGGAGTAATGGCTCCTGAAAATTCAGCTTTGCATTGCAGGAATAAATTAACATTTTGAAATCTATTAAAATAAAGTTGCATTTTAAATTGTAATAATTTTTCTACTATAAAAACTGGTTTGTTTATTTATTTATTTAATTTTATTAGAAACTGAACAACTAAGTGAACATGCAACATACAAGTTTTACTTATTTCAAAGTAACAAAAATTATGTGTGCCCAAGCAATAAAGATATATAATAAATATATTGAAAATTATAATACTATATTATTGTTAGTAAACATTTTACTAACATTTAATATGTAATATTTACATTTTTGTAAACTGTCATTTTTTGTGTTTTTATTCAGATCAAAATTGATCTGACAAAATGCTTTTTTTTTTTGCTTTTTAGGACAAAAAAAATCCTACACAAGTGTTAGTGAATAAATATATTGTTCGCTTATAGAAATATTGTCTAAATATATCGGATGAGCATTTGGTTTTATGTTGACAGTGGATGGAAATGGGATTGTATAGGCTTGTTTTGTTGTTTTTCCCTTAAACACAACTCCGCAGCACAATTTACATAATGCCTACTAACCAGGTTATTGTATCGCACAGCACACCTCAGCATCTGCAGAGATTCTTTTTACAATTGCTCCCTTACTATAGAAAATGCACTCTCAACACTTTTGTATGGTACATACACTGTATATTTGCACAGGGGTGAAATGTCATACAAATTGAGAAAAAATACTGTTTGGGACAAAACATTTATCCTCATTTTCTCTCCCATGTCCTCCCAGCTCTGCTCGTAGCAGCTCGTATGCATGAATTCCGTCGTACGGTGAAGGAGGTGATATCTGTCGTCAAGGTGTGTGAGGCCACGCTGAGAAAAAGGTGAATATCATGGCTTATCTGAGCATATTTTTAGGGAAATTGACTGCTATTGTCACCCAAAAACATGTAGTGTCCAAACTAATGTTTGAAACATAATGTTTAAATATCTCACATTTAATTTTTCACAGTAGAACTAGGGATGTACAATATATATCGGTACCATATTGGTATCAGTCAATATTAGATATATCTTGTCAATATTATTAAATATCATTTAATTACTGTATCAACCAGGCTGACAGAGTTTGAGGAGACCCCCACCAGTGCCCTGACCATCGATGAGTTCATGCGAGTGGACCTTGAGAAAGAATGTGATCCTCCGTCTTTTGTTGCAGGACAGAAAAAACTCAAGATGCAGCAGGTACTCATATGGGGGATACATGGCTGTTGAGATATTTATTTATTTATTTATTCTTTTTTTTTTAAAGAAATTAATGCTTATATTTAGCAAGGAGGCATTAAACTGATCAAAAGTGAAAGACATTTATAAATACATTTACAAAAGACTTCTATTTCAAATAAATTCTGTCCTTTTGAACTTTCTATTCAAAGAATCCTGAAAAAATATATCACTGTTTCCACAAAAATATTAAGCAGCACAACTGTTTTCAATATTGATAATAATAAGATATTTTAAGAGACTTCTTTCAAAAACATTTCAAAATCTTACTGACCGAATACAATAGTGTGTGTGTGTGTGTGTGTGTGTGTGACCAGATATGAAGCTATGAATATAAGATTCAGCCATATGAGACTCTGGATAAATGGTTCTCTTAATTGAAATGTCATTGTTTCAGCTGGAGCAGGAGCTGGCCAAGAAACTTGAGGAATACCAAGGTTAGTCTGTCCTCCTGGAATAAGATATTGATTCTCTCTATTGACTCAACATGGCATCTGAATGCTCTCTGTGGTGCGTTATCTTGGCTACACTAAGCATTTCAAGATTTTTTTGACGATTATGAATGTCAAGTTCCCTTGTGGTTTAGAGTGCCCACCTTACCGACAGCAGCTGTTTCCATAAATGCCTCCATATATTAGGACTATACATCATTACTTGACGTGCCATTAGCATACATAATCTGAACGTTGAACACACTCTACCAAGGAATCCATGTTGCATGCTGAATATTTTTCAGACAAAAAATCACAAACTATCAGAGACATCAGGCTTATGTGTATGTGTGTGTACATTGTCTGCAGGTGAGATCAACTCATACCGCGATGAGATTGAGACACAGCTGGCAGTGAGCAGCAGAACCAAACTGAGAGGGATTTATGCCTCCTACGCAAAAGAAGGTAGATCAAATCAAGTGCTCTGCATGTTTATTTATTACACCTAGGCTCATCTGAGCACAGTTCGCTGATGATATTTGTTCTTAATAGAGAGTATTGTGTGATTTTATGCTGATTCACGTGCAGATGTTGGTTTTTGATTCATGCTGTAACACCCTTTTAGATGATGACTGTGTTTCTTTGGCCTCTGGGATGACTGGAGATGAAGAACTAGAGGATGAGGAAATGGAGGCAGCAGCTCAACATCTCAACCAGGAGTTCATCAGTCAGGTGCTTGAACAGGGGGACCGGGGAGGAATGGAGGATCAGGAGGGGAGCAGGGATACAGTACCGCTCTCCAGTCAGGCCACACATGTGCCACTGACAGCCCTCTTCGGGCCTCTGCCCAGTGCAGCCAGCCTTGGTCTAACAGACTCCATTCGGGAATGCATCACAGAAGAAGACACAACAAACAGTGAGTGTGCCACTTCCTCAGCACAGTATGATGTTCTCTTTGGCCAAACAAAGCATTCATTACAACATACTGTGTCTTTCTTTGCTGTTTTATATGATAAATTGTGGCTATGTACTGTATACTCTCAACATTCAGCATTTCCTGTTTTTCTAGTGATGATGCTTTTTTGTGAAAAAATGTGTTTAGTCAGTAGTAGCTTTTGAACGGTTCTAAACAGTTTTGACTCAAAGACTCCCAAGACAAGACATTATTGAGACCCGTTTATCTGAACCGATGGTAATTAAATAAATAAACAATTTAATTTAGTATTAATTTAAAAAAACTCAAAAATAGGATGTCAGTTTAATCTTGTACATCTTTATTTTTAGTGTTTTTAGCTAAATTAATTAAGATTACATTAATATAGATTCATTTTTCATTCACTTTTATGACTGATTAAATAATTTTATGATATTCGGGTCCCTCTGAATGTCTGGAACCACTGTTCTAGATGGAATCTGCAAACCTTTTTCACATTTTCTGTAAGCATTTTAAGGGAAAATGTAGTAAAAGGTGTTGATTATGGCTCAAAGTACTACCAGGGTTCACGCAGTACTGGAAACCTTGGAAATATCAGGGATATGAGTTAGGCTTGCCGCGATAGACGGTGCTGACGGTGATACCGTTGTTAAGCCGCAACACCGGTTACGTCACTTGCCCAAACATAGAAAGTTCTATGTTTTATATATAGGCTAAAGTGAGTCTGACGTTGTATTTTGTTGTTGCATTCAAGCAATTGACGCCGAATTGACGCTAATTCGAAAGTAAAGTGAAAGTCAAATGCGCACGGTGCTTTTAAGCTATTTAAAAGCGAAGGAAAGCGAGGAAAAGAGGGAAAATTCAAACGAACAATTGCTTTACGCCGAATTGCCGCTATTTGAAAGTGAAAGTAAAATCACACGTCGATTAACCGGTGGGAAAATTTCCTCACCGTTACAACCCTAATATGAGTTTGACTTGGTTTGGCCTGGAAAAGTCACAGCAATTATTAAATTCTTAAAGGGTCATGGAAAAATCTGGAAAATAGACCAAATGAGTTCTGGTCACAGATGAAAAACACAAAATTCATGGATATTTAGGGGTCAGGAATCATGTATGATTACTGGTCATCAGATTAGCAACAATATTTAAATTCATCGTGAAAGTAAAACTGACAGTTCTTTTTTTTGGAATTTTGCAGCATTTATTATAAAGAATTTATCAGTGCATACCATGACTTAAAAAAAAAAAACTTCCTGTAATTTTACATCAAAAACAATAACCAACAGCCAAGACGAGTGGCCAACAGTGGCTCAATAGCCAGCCAAGTTTCAATCCCTCTCCTCTAGCAACCTGTCACTCACATGAAATGATCGCAGTCCAATCAATTCCCGATAGACAAAATCAAGTTCCATCTTACATTCTTTTTCTCATTTGAGAAGCCATTTCATTCGGATATACGTTTCACAATGGGGGAAAAAATGGTTGCAATTTTCATTTCATGTTGACTTAAAAAAATAAATAAAAAGTATGGGTTCATATGATCTTATGAATGATTTGAATTGCTTGATATACTATTTCATAACAATATTATATTATTAACAATATTTTATCCCATTTTTCTAAAGGTCCAAACTCTTGTGGTCCATTTGTCTGTTAAAACTAAATATTTCCTGGTTATATCAAGCAGAATACGTAGTCACTGGGTTTCTTTGTTATAAGATGGATGACTGTAGGAAATGTGGTGAATGTTTAATCTTTAGGAAAGCTTTAACCCTTTGCTATTGTGAAAGTCAGTGCTCCGATGGAGGGTCTTCCAGACATAATCACTTAGAGCTTTTTGAAATCCTTTTAAGACATTTAATAAGAGCTGCTCCAATCTTTCTGCTTCATGCTGTACAGCAGAGCAAAAGCCACAGATGTACTTTCTCATTATAGTGTTTTTATGCTGATCTCATTTCAGTTTATAGAGAGCATATGATTTCAGAGGCAGGAAACGTATGGAGCTTTACTCCGAGGTAATGAAATCATGTCCTGTTTTACTTGCACAGATGACTGTATTCATTATTTAACTGTCATTCAGTGATATCAACATGAGAGGGTTCAGTTAAACAAAAATAAATGCAGCCTTGGTGAGCATAAGAAATATTTGAACAGTAGTGCATGCATTGTTTTTGTTATTACTGTGATAGCAAAGCTGAATTTTTAGAAGCCATTATTTCAGTTTTCAGAAATCATTCTGATATGCCGATTTGCTGCTCAAGAAGTTTTTATTATTGTTATCAGGGTTGAAAACGGTTAATATTTTTGTGGAAAACTGTGATAGACGTTTGATGAATGAAAGTTCAGAAGATGAAAATTTATTTGAAAATATTTATTTTTGTAACTATGTAAACTTTACTGTCACTTTTAATTAAATGAATGCATCCTTGCTGAATAAAAGTATTAATTTCTTTAAGAAAATGTTGAATGTTAGTGCAGTTAAGCAGTATTGATCTTCAAAGCATTGATAACATTGAGTTAGGACCATTGTTAAGAACATCTTTTGGTCAGGATGCATTCAATCAATGGCTGTGGCTGTCTGCAGCAGATCACTTTATTTACCAAAAGCTTTAGATTATTGAAAGACAAAATGTCACAGGACCCAACAGAATATCACAAGATACGGCTCAGCAAAACTCCTCTGACCTCAGCACCTGCTCGCTAGCTGAACTCTGGCCGTTCCCTTTTAACCTTTGACCCTGACCCCTGACGACTCCTCGACCTAGGTGTTCCCTGCAGCTCTAAATGATGAGCAGCAGTGGTTTATCTGAATGCAGCATATGTCTCCTCCGGCCAGTCTACGAGATCGGAGCTGAGCTGCATTATTTTAAAGCAGTTTAGACTGTGATATGCTGTCTGAGGGGCTTTCCGTGGACTATTTCTGCTATGGCAGTTTGCTGATACATTTCCCTCGTCATCATTGTCCTTTTGCAGGAGAAGGTGATGATTCTGCAGGAGGGAAAGCCTCTTAGTCGCTCATAAAGACGGCTTTATGGGGTTCCACTCAGCATGGGTGACTCTCAGTGCTCACAACAATACATACAGCAGACTATGAAGGCCAAAGATGCACTACTGGCCACTCTGAATTTTGGGTTGTGAATATGTGTTTGTGTGCGCACTGAAAGATGAAGAAAAACAGTAAAAAGAGTGAGTTATTAGAATTTTTTAAAGCTTTGTATATCTTAGCATCTGGGGCCTCAGGCAGGGAAACACCCTGGATAGTTGGCCAGTCCTATTTTTATTGTGTTTTATTTTATTTTACTTTGTAAGTCACTTTATAAGTATTTATAATTGTATTATGAGTAGGCATATTCCAGTGTAGCAGGGACTGAAAGTGCAAAAAGCTGCATTTTTAAACTGCTGCATGCAGGTCTGCATAAATTTTGTGTTCTCTAAATAGGGAACACATGAGACAGACAAAGACAAAGTGAGTGAGAGTGAGTGAGAGAGGTAGAAAGCAAGTGACCAAGAATGTGTGTGTGTGTGTGTGTGTGTGTGTATGTGTGAGGTCTGGCAGATGCCTCTCTCACTCTGACAGGCTGTCGGTACTGAAGTGTCTCACTCTTTCAGACTGTCTGTCTCCTCAGTTCTCTGGGGATACATGAGATTTTCACTCTCTCACTTTCACTGCTGTGAAGAGAGCGACTGGCCAATTCCACAGCCTCCTTTCCATCAATAGCATCTGTTTCACACAGGTTAACTTCCCACCGGCGCACCAGTTTTAACCCAGAAATCTCCCTCAAAAGGCATCTAAGGAGTCCCGCTTATTTAATCAATATATACTTTCCAGAGCAGCAAGTGCAGTGAAATATGAATTTTAATCTGATGATGATAAAGGGGTTTGGGAGTCTATTATCAATTTTTGTTTTTCACTATTCAATATATTCCAACCCCATACAGAGCTGGCCACCAAATCTTGGGTAATGCATTTCAGATTGACTCTGCGTGTGCGTGAGAGAGAGAGAATGAAAAGATTAAAATACGGGAAAGATTTTCCAAACCAGGATATTTTGCAATCTTGCAGCATTGAGAATCTCAGTACCGGCAGCTTTACCGAGATAGTTGAATGCTCAGGCTTCAAAATAATCTTAATTTCCCCTGCACGGACAACACGTGGTTTTCATAAAATTTTCCAAATGTCTCTGAATCATCAGTGACTACTGTTACTGTTTTGGAACCAAGCAGTTAGCACACATGCTCTCATACTCTGACCTATGGTGCTCATGTAGGCGAAACAGTTTGTATCCAGCTTGTGACATTTACCAGTCCCGTTCCCCATTTCTTTTTCTCTCCATGTGAGTGGAAAAAAGGCTAGTATAAAATTTGGAAAAATAAAGGCACATATTGATCTTACTGAAGACAGTTATGTGACTCTATAGGTTTAAATCCAATTAGTATGTGGCACACTAATGACTTTATAATGAGCATACTAATGAGTTTCCTCAGCCCCTCGCGGACTTATAGCAGGCAATATTAGAGTTTTTTTCCCTGTATCGACCGATATCTATATACGGTATTTAATTGAGCGTTGTACAATCTGTACATTTATGTTGTCTTTTTATTGTATTATCATTGTTAACTTAAACTAAAACTATTAATAAAAATAGTTTTTGTTTGCTTAAATAAAGCTGAAATAAAATGAAATATAAATATTAGGTGAAAACCTTAGAAAAAATAGAAATGTTGCATTGTCAACTAACTTATGTTGAAGCTGAAGTGAAGCTAATAGAATAGTTTAAAGCTAAATAGATATACACATTTACTAAATGGAAAAATAAAAGTTTATTCAAAATATTAAGTACTATAATAGTAGATAACTAACACTAAAATATCATTGCTTTGCCGTCATTTAACACTCATTTAGTTCATCTTTATAAACACTGTTCAATGCAAAATCTTAGGAAATCTCAAAATGAATAACCGTTTTTCATACTGTACATTGTAATGCTGTGATAAATTTGAACTTCCTTTAATAGACACAGCATTTTAAAAATGCATTGCTCATGCTGTGAGTCCTTGAAAAACCAGTGAGATAGTGTATGCTTACATAGAAACATTAAAAAACAACACATCCCTTGTAAATGGCCCCTAAAGCTTACAGTTTTAAGTGCCTATTCCAGGGGTAAAAAAGTGAAATTCTCCTGTCTGTATGTATTGAGGGGCATGTCATGAGTTTACTGCAGCAGGGACACTGATTTATTACACCTGCTTGCAACTCGTCCCATACTGCATTGCTACACTGCATTTCCTGTTGTGCACTGAGCTTCAGCTGTGATGATGCTGCCTCATGGTCCAGTGCGCTCTGAGCGCTGTCCCTCCCTCTCTCTGCTGTTAATGCCACTCCTGCTTGCATGTGTAAGGTATCAATCTAATGGCCTGCATGCAGTCAGACAGCTGTGCTTGATTTAGATTGACCAATGGCTTGGGGAACGAGAGAGAGATGGGAGACTGCGTGTAGATGGAGATGACAGTTAGTCTAGGAAGACATTCACTGAATGACACATTCGAAAGCACAGCTTCTGCAGGCAAATACAGCATTTAACCTTTCAAGTAGATGTGTTTGACATGATCAAAACATGCTGAGGGATAGCGGAGAGTAAAAGGCTCTTTTGTAGTTTATCCACATCTGTAGTTAACGGCATGTGCAGAATGTCAATGTGTTAGGGCAGATATAGAGTCTGATTTAAAAGATACTGTAGCTGCCTACTGTAGCTGACCCGAAGACAAGAATACACACACATACACACATACATTCTTCACTTCTTGGCCTGCTTGCCCATGGCACAGTCAGAGTGAGCAGGTGGTGAGGTTGGAAAAGGCCCTCAGAGGTTATCATGCCATATTGCAAGAGGTTTTTTTTCCACCTTGTCCTCGTTTTTGTATGAGCTTGAAACATTCTCAGTCTGCAAGATCTTTCAATCCTTTTTCAAGCTTTGAGCAAAAGAAGTTAGTTTACATCTAGAGTAAATCTCAGTGGATCTTCATAACATGGTCGTCTCTTGTTGGCATTCTAATAATTCATCCTTTAAATGATAACACCAGTTGATCTATAAATTCATTTGATTAAATGAAAAAAAACCCAGATGGTATGTATTATTATTTATTACAGCAATTCACAGGTTGTGGTTTATAATATAATGACTTATAAAATAATCTACAAACATTCATGCAAACTCAAAACTCAAAATGCAAATGTTGCTCCCAGTATTCATTCATCTCTGTGGCATTTCACAGTGGAGCATCAAGCTGATCTGTTCATTTGCATAATGATTCATATGATTCATTATGTAATCTGGATTATGTTCAGTCAAGTGCATACTCATATTAGAGGCTCGTTCTTCGTTAAAATATGTTGGAGCATATTGCATTAGGAGCATTTAATCTTGTTTTGTGTTCTTAATATCATCACACAAACAAAATGCCATGTTTTTGAAGAAGGCAAAGGGACAGTTTGCCCTAAACACAAAAGATTGGAACACAAAGGGAGAATTTTGAGGAATTGTCAGACAGCTTTTTTGCATACTAATTCGTAATGATCCAAAATGACAAATGACATCTCAAAAGTCGAGACTGTTTCAGGTTTTCCGAAGCCAGATTTCAAATCAATTATGGTGCCGCAGGTTGGACGTCAATAATATCAAATCATTGGATTGCACGTGTCTCATGAACAAATGTCGTAATTGATTTGAGAAATACAGAGTTCTGGCATGAAACTCTAGATGACGAAGTCCGATAGGTCTAACTCAATCTAACCTAATGACATCCTTATCACATGGCACAGCTGATTGGTTCTCTCCTGTATCGGAAGCCAATGAGCTGTCATGACAGAACCAGTAATAACTTACATTTCGGTTTATTCATCACATAGCTACTTTGAAATTCATATGGACTACTTTTATTACTTTTTGGTACTTATAGAGTGATATATATATATATATCTTTTTTGGAGTTTGACATGTTGCTTTGTACTGTTGTGCAATTTTAGAGCTATGAATGGAAAACAGAGAGTTTAAATTATTAAAATATTCTTATTTCTTTCTTGCCATGAACATAAGAAGACATTTTGAGATTAATTGAATGTTTATTTTTGGAGAAAAGCTGCATTATGCTACACCCTAGGGTTTTGCATTTAAATACCATTGCTCATGTGAAATGTCACTGGTGAAATCCAGTCATTCCAATAGGAATTGGGAGTTTAATGTGAAGGCAAAAAAGCCCCCCATGCAGATTTAGCTCATGTTCAAGTTGGTCATGGAAATTCAACACACTGACAAACAGAAAGCTGCTTAGTTCGAAAGTAACTTCTGTGTGAGCAGTGCTACATATATCTGTATTCTGCTGACAATGTGATTTTTTTTTTGGCTACAAAATTTCACTAAAATTGGTGGCTTGAGGCTGTATAACCATTCCCTGCTGGTTGCATAGCTTAGCCTGTGTGACCTTTGGGTGACTCCTTTCACGTTTTTCAACTCCTTCGAAACTGGAGCTCCTTGTTACCATCATCTATCCAACCCCAATCAGCCATACTCCAGCCTTCTAAAGAGCTGAAACTTGATCTCGCCATGTTGTTTTTCTTTCTCCCTTCTATCCAAGCCGACTGTGCAATCGCTCTGGGGAAACGCTGTGATTTGCTCCACTGGGTTTGATATGTGACAGCCACTCCAAGCTGCCTGCAAACAAGCCCAATTCCCTCATAGACCAGTGTGCCCATGTTGGTCCATGCCTGAGCAAGTACCCTATCTCCGTCTTATGGACGAGATACCTGGATTCAATTACAGTCCTGCTAAAGATTTAGAATTCACCTCCCAGTTGAAAACCAGGTATTAGAGGAGCAGGGTGTTGGAGATAGTAGAAGATGTAATACACGGTGTGAAGAAGGCAGTAAGAAAAAACACAAAAATTTGATATGAGACACTGGCCTTTGACTGAAATCATGTGACAAAGAAATTGTGAGTTAGGACAAAAACATCATCTACACAAGTACATATGTACACATTTGCTTGACAATGAGGACAACATGGGGAGGATAGATTTACCTTCCGATGTATGTGCCATTAAACTGGCTGTGTTGTTATTCAGGAAGCTAACTATAAATTTGTCAACAGTTTAACTTTTTTAAAGGGTCTTTAAACTTTTTTTTACCCAGAACCTACAAATATGGTGCTCCTTTTATGAAGTACCCACTTACTAAAATATAAAGGCAACTGCATATTTTCATGTATAATGACCAATGTAAGAAATTAATAATAATATTATAACAAGACAACATACTGTTTATAAAGACATGCTTTTATATTCTACTATATAAAATTATTTAAAGTTATAATATTTTATTATTGAAGTAATGTTAGATTTATAAATCTTTAGAATTTTATAAAAAAAATGGATTTAATTTAGATTTATTTATTACTGTTAAGAATTGTCAATGGAATAAAATAATCATGATTAATTTAATGATTTCTGGTAAAAGGCAATGAAACAGTAATAATATCAGATGTGTTATAATTACTGTGTAAAACATTTTATCATTTTTTTCTAATTTTCTTTGGACCCTCAAGCATTCCAGTGCAGACCCCAGATTGTAGAATGTGACTTGTTTTTCTTTCCTTGGCTGTTAAACTGGAGTTAGAATCAATTTTTTAGAAGGTGCCTCTGATGTTTGCATCTCAAATGATACTCAGGCAAATGATACTGGACACTACGGCCTTTGAAGTAGTGTGATGTGTCTTAAACCTCACACATGCAAGTGTAAGAATCTGAGATGGGGACAGATTGTGACCTATTTTCTTTTGTCTCAGTTCAGATATTTAAATCCGGTCTCCCTGGCCAGTCTCGCTGTGAGAATGTCAAAGCGTATGAATGCGAGTCGGATGGCTACAGTAGAGACGGCGTTCAGATCTCTCTATGTTCAATCAATGAACATCTGGTCTTGATCCACAGAGGCTCCACCAATCTAATCACACTTTTCCCAGGCTGACTTTTGCAGCTCTTTACATTTAAAGAAAGCATTCTCGTCATACTAAAATCAGCTTTCAAGTCACTTACAGAGAAAGGTTTGCGTGTGTGTCATTGTTTGCTTTAGTTCAATCCTTTGGCTAGGTTTTTAAAAAGGTTAGCTTGAATAGATCACGCAAAACTGAATACAAATGATAATCAGAATCAGAGTGTTTCTTTTGTGTTATCTATAGAGAGTTTATACTTGATACATCATGAGTAAACACTATTGATTATTGCATTCCAAATGTTCATATGTTTTTAATTCTCTACCCATTAGATTCCCATTTACAGGCAGAGATGCTGCTTTATTTTGTGATTGTTTTCTTTCATCATGTCTATTTACAGCTCTATCGTCTTGCCCTGAACTCATTTATATTTATATATTTCTACAGACACATGCTAATTGTATTCAGGTGGTGTTTATAACACATATTTATGTGAATCTGAGGTTACATCAGGCCATTGTATTAGCATACAGTAACATTGCTCTTCATATTTACCTCAATATGAGATTTTAATTTAGGGATTAAGACAATTTGGGAAAGTGTTTGAGGAACACAAAATCCTTTCACATCACCGCTAAGCCTATTAATGGCAATTACACAACAAAGAGCTGGCAGTGCGTGCATTATTGAGAGAACGCCGCCAAAGTACTTCCTGTGTATTGCACCATCTCAGACAGCTGTAGACTCCAGTCAATTTCATTCTGAAATAGGAAATTCACCTGAATAGCTTGCATGCTATCTGGTGGGAATTGCTTCGCCCCAAAAATCCTTTTTCACTTTATTAACTTTTGTGTCTTTGTCTTTTTGTAGTGGAAGATAAAGCAAAAAATGGGGAACTAGATCTGGATGGGATTGATGAAGAAGAGATTGAAAAGGTACAGTATGTAGTTAGTAATTAATGGATTTATGGATCAACTTTTATATTCACTTACACTGCAAAAATAATTTTCTTAATCAGTATTTCTGTCTATTACTTTTTTCTGGTAAAATATCTAAACATCTTTACAAAAGAAGATATATTTACTTGCAAAATTCTGTTAGGTAATAAGACATAAATCTCACAAAATGTTGGATTTATGCTTAATATTTTGCTTGTAATATAATATAATAATCTCTGAAAGCATGTGTTATGTCTTATGCAGCTTTGCTTTTCAAGTAAGTCTTTTTTTTGTGGAAAAACAAGACGAAAATACTAATAAAGAGAAAAAAAGATTTTACAGTGTAACACATTACTGTGTTGTTCTCTGAAAATGGAGCTTGAAACTTCTGTTGAACTTTAGCAGGTCATGTGAAGTCCAAAAAACTGTCTGATGTTCTGCAGCCCAGATTTACAAATTATCACCTCTTATCCTTACTTATCAGCATGGGCCTGTTATCTTCTCTGCAGTACATTTTGAACGAGATAGAGGTGAAGGCCAAGACAGAGCTGTGGATGAAACAGAACGAGGAGTATTTGAGGGAACAGAAAGGTAAGCGTATAAGAGAAGAAGAGCTTAATGCATTTATTAACACAAGCTCATACACTCGATCTGTGCTGACGTCAGAGGTATGTGTCCTACCAAGGGACTGCTCAGCCACAGAGATAAAAATTCAGTGAAAGGAAGGATTTTGTTTTTAAATACTGGCACAGTGAACTACTTCCTGCAATTTCATCCCATGATTGAACTTTGTGAAATTAAGTTTGATTTTTACTGTGAAAAATAAAAGATTGACGTCCTAAAGTTAATCTGCTCAACGTTGTAAGAGTTTTTTGAGTTTTTAAAGTCCTTTATTTTTTTATTGCTTTTTGTGTCTAGTCTAAAACACTCCATTTGATAAAGCCATTGTGTCTCCCTATTTTGTTTTATTTTTTTTTCAGAAAAAGAGGAAAGAATAGCTAAAGAGAAGGAGCAAGGGACCTATAAGGAGAAGGTGAGCATGTTGTGTGTGTGTGTGTGTGTGTTTGCACGTCTGCCTTTTTCTTATGTTGTCAACGTGGGCTTTCCTCCCATGCCAGGGTCTTCAGACACTCAGCAGCTGCAGGTCCTAAGAGACCGCATACTTTCCATTTTAACTTCACTTGCTCCTCTGGTTTCACCCCAGGTTCTCAGTGTCGCCTCTCCTTAACCTGTCTGCTCTGACATCTGCACCGTGACTTCCAGTCGGGGTTGGATTAGCCGGCCCTGCTCTGCACCTCTAATGAGGTGCCTTGAGCCTGATAGCAATTTCAGGTACAGTAGTCCACTTGCTGACTGTGAAGAGACTTGTTCCACTTTACCACACGAGGAACACGGTCAGCGGTGACCAGATCAGATGGTCTTGATAGCTTCCCCAGGCTACTAATGGGATTCTGCCACTTTGTTGTTGACAGCTGTTAGCCTGACATTATTATATCAAGGTCCAGTGGGGAAATGCACTGTTTAAATGATACCCAGATGCCCAAAGAGATAGAAATGCTCACTTATTTAAATTACCAGTATGCTTTTAGCCTTCAGAAATGTTTTTAGAAAGCCAAAGGACTCTTCGCTATGAATAAGAGCCATCTAAGCACTGACTCCAATGTTTGTTTTTCACTGTAAATAACTCCTATTCCAATTTGTCTAGCCAAAGAAGCCATCCAAGAAGCGAGAACCGATCCTGGCCAGCACTGCGGAAGAGGCCATAGAGAAGATGCTGGAGCAGAAAAAGATCTCCAGTAAGATCAATTATGATGTTTTGCGGGACCTCAACAGCAAGGGCAGTGGGAGCAACACCACCCAGCAAGCTGAGGATGTGCCTGCCGGTGGCTCTGGCCGCAAAAAGTTGACCCGCCGCAAGAAGCAGCCAAACAAGAGCAATCTTGGCCTCGCTAAACCCGCAAGACTCATGGGCAAGAGGTAAGGATTTAATGAAGAGTGAATCTGTCGTTTGTTTGTTTTTTCACTTGGTTACTGTTGGCTCACAGTGCGCTTTGCAACTTTTTCTACTTTTTCACTCCGTGAAACCACTAAGTCTGTCTTTATGTAGTAACAGGGACCTGCTCCAAGTGGCAAAGAGACTCTTTTGTTCCTCAGACAAAGGACATGATCAAAAAGGCTGTTCCTTTGCCCTTGGAGGACTACATTTTTCTTTAAGCACTGACTCCAATGTTTGTTTTTCACTGTAAACAACTCCTATTCCAATTTGTCTAGCCAAAGAAGCCGTCCAAGAAGCGAGAGCCGATCCTGGCCAGCACTGCGGGAGAGGCCATAGAGAAGATGCTGGAGCAGAAAAAGATCTCCAGTAAGATCAATTATGATGTTTTGCGGGACCTCAACAGCAAGGGCAGTGGGAGCAACACCACCCAGCAAGCTGAGGATGTGCCTGCCGGTGGCTCTGGGCGCAAAAAGCTGATCCGCCGCAAGAAGCAGCCAAACAAGAGCAATCTTGGCCTCGCAAAACCTGCAAGCCTCATGGGCAAGAGGTGAGGATTTAATGAAGAGTGAATCTGTCGTTTGTTTGTTTTTTCACTTGGTTACTGTTGGCTCACAGTGCGCTTTGCAACTTTTTCTACTTTTTCACTCCGTGAAACCACTAAGTCTGTCTTTATGTAGTAACAGGGACCTGCTCCAAGTGGCAAAGAGACTCTTTTGTTCCTCAGACAAAGGACATGATCAAAAAGGCTGTTCCTTTGCCCTTGGAGGACTACATTTTTCTTCTTGTCAGCCTCCAACATTTTGTCTTTGCTTTGCTCCTTTGGCTGACCTTCACAGTCATTTCCACCAGGAGAAAGCTTGTCATCAATTCAGTGCCAGGACTGTCTGTCTACCATCACCTGGCACCCTGTAGTGCATGCTGGGAGCCTGCCCCTTCTCCAATTAATAGTCCTCCAGGGCTCCAAACGTCCCTGTGAGAGAAGTAATGAATATACGACAGACGGAGCGCAAGATCATGACTTCTACACTTTGGCGTTGAAAGATAATTTCTCATTGTGTGATGTCTTTCCTCCAGTCCATTTCATTAATGATAATTACTAATTTCATACTGAATGGTGAGATGGTGATGAATCAGACATATGAACGCTGTCGGAGACCTCATATCCTCAAGCTTCCAAAAGGCAATTTACTGACCCCTTTCTTTTTGATCATATGTTCATGAATGTGTTTGAAACAAACTATTCAACTCTCACATTACTTTTATTACCTTTGAGATTTTTGAAATATAAATGTAGTGCATATCCTGAGGATATAAAAACATAGCCGGCTAGTGTTATCACTCTCTTTGTCTGGTGGAAATGCAATACATTTTTTGAAATTATATTTTTATTACACTACCGTTCAAAACCTTGGGCTCGGTAGGATTTTTAAATGTTTTTTAAGAGAAGTCTCTAATGCTCACCAAGGCTGCATTTACCAATAAAAAAAATATATAGTTTATTAAAATGTATTTACAATTTTAAATAATAGTCTTCTATTTGAATATATTTTAAAGTGTAATTTATTCCTGTGATGAATTTTCAGACGCTGAATTTTCAGCATTACTCCAGTCTTCAGGATCTTTGAGAAATAATTCTAAGGTGATTTATTATTATTATCAATGCTAAAAACAGTCAGTAAATGCCAGTAAATCCTCTAGTGTTGTAAGGCATGATGTAAGTCACTTTGTTTGAACTGTTGTTCGCCCCATCAGCTGGCAGACTCACAGAGGCCAGTATAAAAATATTAAATCATCGTATGTTGCCGACACTGTGGAACAAATTGGACGATAAACTTGAATTTAGTTCCAGCTTCAGTTGAGAGAGCTTGCTCCCACTCCTGTTGAAACATGGGAACATTTGTAATGAGCTGTCATGGGAGGGCAAAGAGTTTTAGTTTTGTTTCCACGACTTGCAAGTAGCAACTGTCTAAGATACAGAGGTGGGACCAAGTCATTGTTTTGCAAGTCACAAGTAAGTCTCGAGTCTTTGCATTCAATTCTCGAGTCAAGTCCCAAGTCAAGACAGGCAAGTCCCAAGTCAAGTCCCGAGTCAAGACAGGCAAGTTAAACTCAGATTTAAATCTCGATTATGGATTAACTTTAAACTTAATGGAGGTTTAAATACAATAAAATGCACATGCAAATAAAATATGTAACTGATCGAACAAAAACAGTGGAGATCTGACAAAAACAGGTCTCAGAGAGGTGTTTGTTACAAAAAAAATAAATAAAATTAAAGCACATCGAGCAGGATGCCCGGGATGCGTATCTGTCTCTCTTGGTGCACCTCGGTGTCGAACAAACAAAAGAAGTGAGGAATATTTCACAGAAGCGGTCACGGTGATGATGAGGCGAGCACCAGTGATCGTGGCCGCACCTCTCGTTCTCATGCCCGCTCCGTGTGTCTGCTGGGCAGCGATCAAACGGACAGGGCAGTGCTTTTCACGAGCGGAGATCGCTGGACGAATCATGTAATTTTTTTTTTTTTTTCTTATCTCGGCTCTTTTGTCGTAAGTTATGTTATTACTCCATTAATGTATACTAGCCTATAAATCCAGCGCTGCCTGAATGATAATTATGTCGAGTCGAGTCGCAAGTCATCAAATTTGGGACTCGAGTCCGAGTCAAGTCTCCAGTCATGTGACTCGAGTTCACACCCCTGCTAAGATATTTCACACAGTACTTTTAGAGATAAATGGTTCAAAACAGCCAGTATCCCATTTTCTCTTCTGGATTTACTAAGTGTGCAGAAATAAATGTCTACAATTGCCCAATTGCTCATCTTTCACAATGCATGCAGTGCTCTCTGTCAGAAAACTAGCACTCCAACTGATCAAAGCACATTTCTTCAAACATATTTTTTTTACATGAGCTGGTACATAAGTTAATTTTGGGCCTGAATAGATCTATTTGTCATATATCTATTTGTCTATATAGGTCCTGTTGTTACTCTTCTTCACTGCCTTGACTAGCTAACAGACCCCTTCTAGACGCTCTGCTAACCAGGTAGAATTGGTAATTCCCCTCCCCCTTTACCAGCCTCACACACCAGCTGCCAGATTGAACCTCTGCACGACCTCCAAACTAACAGCAATGGTGAAGCACTCCTCCTATAAGATAAGAACATAAAGTTCTGTAATTTCTTTCCTCCTTTTTTTTTACCTGTTCACCTGTTCCTTTTCCTTTTCTATCCTTGTCTTTTAGCAAAGGCTTGCCATTCTTAAAACTGCTGGGATTAGTTTTTTGAAGTGTAAATCTGATCTCGCTGCATGAGGATGACCTGTCTATGCCTCACTTCTCGACATACCTCAGAAAAAGTGACAGCCCGACAGAACGCTTCACCTCCCAGCTCCAGCGTGCGGCTTGATCCTGTTTCTGATCCTCGTTTTACAGTAACAGCTACCGCTTTGAAATCAGACTGATGATTTGAGGAGCAGCATCGACCCAGGGGATTTGGGAGTGAAGAACCATACATATTTCTGCTGTCTACCAGGTCCATTCTAGTTTTTTTGGCTCTTTGACAACGTGAGTGGAGATTGATTTGTAAATGTTAGCTTAAAGGGATACTCCACCCCAAAATGAAAATTTTGTCATTAATCACTTACCCCCATGTCGTTCCACACCCGTAAAAGCTTCGTTCGTCTACGGAACACAATTTAATGAGATGTCTTTCATAGTTTTCTGGACCTTGACAGTGTAATTTACTTGGCAGTCAATCGGATAGTCACAAGCCTCCCGGTTTTTATCCAAAATATCTTAAATTGTGTTCCGTAGACGAACGAAGCTTTTAGGGGTTTGGAACGACATGGGGGTAAGTGATTAATGACAAAATTTTCATTTTGGGGTGGAGTATCCCTTTAAGGTCAGACGGTATGAGTTAGAGTGTTTGGAGATGTGCTTTCCACCAGGCCTACACTGAGTAAAATACACCGCGCCTCTCATTTATTTTGCCTGGCACATCCGGAAATAGCCAATGAGCCCGAGTGCCCTGATGCGTTTCGCAGATCCTCCCTTTCTGTTTGACCCAACTCAGTTTCCCAAACTAAAATGTCATTGTTTCCACCCTAACGTTAGTCCACTTCCAGCAGTATGGCTTTTCGCTCATTATTACAGCAGGCTTTCAATGTCCATACTGTTAGACCCTATCGACTTGTCTTCTAGAGGGCAGGAAACCAAGGCAACCGACTGTGGAGTGTGTCATTCGGTCCGTCTCAATGGAACTCCTTGTCGCCAAAAACCCTTCACAACCTCCTAGCAACAAAAACAGCAGAATGAGTCATTTTGTTTGTTTCTAGCGTGGTCACGTTGACCCAGGACCGGCGTGGAACCGTCTGGCTGTATAGAAGTGGTTGTACTCGTGGGCCTAAGTGAGATAAGACGGTAGGAAGGACCTCTTAGTTTCATCTTGTGGCTGGTTCTCGACCTCTAAGCTTGGTCAAAAGGTTTTAGACCGGGTCTCTCAGCATGGAGTGCTCCATTGTTTGAGGATGCCATTTATCAGTGGGTTGAGATCTGTTAGTCCTGAGGATGTCTGGTGGTGGGAGTAAGGGAGCCACATCCTGCTGATGGGAATCATGTTTGGTCGAGGCGAAGCAGCTGGATTGTTTCATTTAATATAGTGAGGTCACTAAAAATAACTCTGGATTTTAGAGTGGCTCTAATCAAATCACAATAATAAGGGAAGGAAATTCATAGTTCTTAGACTATCATAGAAATTATCCACATTATCCACAATTATCCATAATATCCACAATATTTCAAAAATAAAAATCTCACAGACTCTTGCCATCTACAGATGTACATTACCGTTCAAAAGTTTGGGGTTGAAAATACAGTAAAAACCAGTAATATTCTGAAATATTATTACAATTGAAAATAACTGTTTTCTATTTTAATATATTTTAAAATATAATTTATTCCTGTGATGGTGAAGCCGAATTTTCAGCAGCCATTACTCCAGTCACATTACTCCAGTCTTCAGTGTCACATGATCCTACAAAAATCATTCTAATATGCTGATTTACTGCTCAAGAAAAAATTTTTTTATTACTATCGATGTTGAAAACAGTTGTGCGACTTAATATTTTTTGTGAAAACCGATATGTTTTTCAGGATTCTTTGATGAAAAGAAATAAAAAAAAAAACAGTATTTATTTGAATTTATTTATTTGATCCCAAACTGTTGAACGGTAGTGCATTTATAATATTAATAATCTCATATCTCATGTCTTGAAAGGTTTATACGTTACTGTTAAAATATGGAGAAAATTAATGAGATTTTTACTTTCAAAACTTGCCTGTTGTGCTCTATAGGCCTCCCGCCGACTCTCCTCCACACCCATCACTCACTTCAGCAGATGTTACAAAGCCAGAGATCTGCAGGTGATGCCGAGAGGCCATGTTAAAAACCTTGCGAGCTCTCTTACCCTTCCCTTCCATCTGCACTAGAGTCACAGAGGGAGATTGACTCAGTCACAGCACACTTCTCAAGCTGTGTCAGCAGGAGTC